GAAGCATGAAATTCATACCGTTTTTTTTTTTTTTCTCAGAGTAACCACACAAAGTGAACAAGACTGTAAAGTTTTTAAAACATCTTTCAAATAAACTGCTGTAAAACCTTTAAAGTTGATTTTGTGGCTACGTTCGCCCACTTGGACAAGCTGTTAGCTCGTCAATGTGGTCAGAAAGCTAAGAATTTATCTAAACTGAATTTGCTCAAAGAAATATCTACAGCAGGTAAGATATTAATTGTTTACACTCTTTCCAAGGAGCTCTACTTTAAATAATTGGAACTGTCTCTTTAATTTTAAATCCTGTACTGATGTCCAGCACACTACGTTTACTTTTAGACGAATTAAAAGAAAAATTATTACTCCATTTTTGATTTGAGATCTGTTTACGTCAGTGCGAGACATTTCAGCGGCAGAAAGACTCAAAATGTGAAAGCAGCAGTCACCAGCTTTACATTCTGAAAATTGAATCCTGATTCTATTTATATTTTGTGTAATTTACGCCCCGCTTCCTCCGTACAAGTGAGCAGGAAACAGATGCAAGGAATTGCTCATGTCCCTAAATTCCTCTGAGAGCGATTGTAGTCAACACCAACATGTCAGATCGGCTTTGTACTTGCATGTGAAAAGGTAGTAGACAGTGACTAAATTGACTCCCTGGTTTCCCTGCTCTGAATGTCCATTTCCTCACAGTTTCCACTTGCGTATGTCCGTCTGTCCAAGCCCAGGTTATAGCTGGCACGCTTCCCCAGAGGAGCCATGGAGCCTATATGCTTTCTCAGGACAAGGTCAACCTCAACGCCCCAGGAACAGCAGACGGAGAAGATCATTAGGTTCACAATAACGTTACAAAGATAAACAATAGATGAAAGCATGTTCTCAAACATGTATTGGCATTCTATGCAAAATGTTCAGAGAGTTTATAATAAATCAATCGTTCTGAAACAGTCTCCCCGAAGGATGATTCTCTGTGCCGCAGCTAACAGGCCAATAATAAAAAATATGTCCCCTATAATCGGATTAATTATGAAAACTAATACAATAACTATAATTAAGGTTTGAAATTATTGCAGATAATCAAGTATCCAGACATTTGACACAGGAAGGGGAGGCAGTAATTTCATGTCAAAGGATTTTTGTTTGACATTTACAAGGAGAGATGATTTGCACCTGCAAGACAGGCCAAACGTTTCATGGATTATGGCGCCATCTAGAGGACATTTAGCGCAACTACACTAACAATACAGTACATGTGTCAGAATGGAGAGTTTATATTCTTAGTGTTTCTTCTTTGGTTTTATTTTTGCCTTTGTGCACATATTGAAGTTTGTCAATGGAAAATAAATATTTTTATTGTTTTTAATTGAATAAAAATAGTTTTCTTACATTTTATCATATTTCTCTCACAAATTTTAAAGATATATGAAAGGGTTCCACCCATGTTGAATTGTTTCCTCTGTGAACAAACATTTTCTTTAAAAAATTAATTGAAGTTGGTACACAGTCTAATAATAATACACTTTATGAAAACATAGAGAATAAAGTGTCATCTTTCACCTCTTAGATGATTTGCAGCCCAACGCTCCACCGTCACAAGATTTATGATACATAAAATTTTTGCTGACGTGCTTCTCCTCAGCTGCAGCTCAGATATATGGCAAACCATAATTTGGAGGTGTAAAAATGGATATAAAACCTGTGTTAATTATTTAATCGTGGTTCCACACTAAGTGGTGCCTTTTAGCCCTGACGAGAATGTCATCCCCATCTATTTCAGCGGCTCGTTATATCACTCATTAGTTGTTGAATAAAAAATAATATCAAGTCTGAGACTAGTTTCATGGCAAACCAGTGCAAACGGGACTTTTACGAACATCATTAACTAACATTTTTAATCTTTCTTTTTTTTAAGTTTGATATAAACTGGATTTAAATCTCCCCTTTGTCACCCTGAACGGAGCTGAAGGCCTGGAATAAAGGCATAAACAGCTGCATACTTTGAAAAAAAAAAAATCAAAACTCATTTCATTGGTTTCTTAAGAAAGTTAAAAGCAGCCTCCACATGAAGACATAATGGAAAGGTCCGTGGCACGCAACGATGTGTGGGACCGGTGATATATCTTTGTGTCAGGGGGCAGTTAGGCACAAAGACTGAGGGGTGTGATCAACAACCAAACAAACACGTTGTGCTGAGGTGAGGGCGAGGAGGTGCACACAGAGCATCCATCACAGCACATCTGTGAGAGGCTGATACTGCTCGGCTTCCTTTCACCGCTCTCCACACGCTCAACTCATCTCCTCCTCACTAAAATATCACTTGTAGCTGTTCGACTATGAGATGCTGATTGCTGGGAGTTTGTTTATTCTGCTCACATGTGTCTTTGGGATGGAATGTTGTGTAATAAAATACAAACAGTGTCCCCAAGCAGCAAACTGTGAAACACGTTTCTGTAATCTGATTCACCTGCTGGGTGCAAACTGTGAACAAGTGTAAAGAAGTCCTAAATGATTAATATTTCTCTTTTTTGTAGATCAGCTCTTGGACTGAGTTGGGAGAAACCAACTTTAATTCTGACTAGACTGATGAGCAAATGGCTAGTCCGAGCAGTGCCATAACCAAAGTGGATTAAACAACTCGATCTGTAAAAAATATATACTAGTTCATTTTAGAAATCATGTCATTACCATGAATTTTCTATTACAAGGTTACTCTAGCAGAAATATTACATTTCTGCAGGAAGTGCCGCAGGCCACACTGGGAGTGCAAATGCTAGCTGCTGTTGCTATTTGTGCTTGCAAATAAATATATAGCAAAAAACTAATCCAAAGTTGACAAAGACGTAAAAATGTATAAAGTAGCAATCGCAAAAACCACAATGACATTTTTAATATTGCAGATGTCTTACGATAGTAATTCACTTTGATCTCGGCCTTGCTCACACTGGCCGATAGCTTGTCTGTTTAAAGCAGAGTTGGATCAAAGAGATATCTGCAGCAGGTCAGATATTGATTGTTCATTATCTTTTCACAGAGCCCCATATCATAAGATTTGTGCTAATGATCCATTGTTAGGCTGATGGTCCTTCTTGAGCATGTGATCAGCTGGTTTTGGTTGTCAGCAGCAAAACTGGTTGATCCACTCTGAGAAGGTGCTATTTAAGAGACTGAGCTGAATACAGCACCTCAGACTGAGGAAGTCTCTCGGACGAGAGACGAAACGTTTCTACATTTTTTGTTGTTTTGCTTTGTTTTTTTTTGTTTTTTTTTTAATGTCCAGAGGACCAGATTTAACTTTTTTAGATTTGAACTATCACTTTAAAGTTGTTTAAAAAAAAACTGTGGTAGAAAATGCTCATTTTGAATTACATGTAAAATGCATTATTCAAATGTTGCATTAAATGAGATGTAAAAAAAATATGTGTTTGACAAAATGAATATTGTCTGCTAATGTACATGCTTTGAGTTTATTGTGTTATTCAGACCTTGTCAGTTAAAAACCTAAATGAGGAAAGTATGGATAATATTTAACCTTTAAAGTCAGGAATCCTTTTTCACAATCACATCGCAATATCTGAAAGCAGTGAGGTCAGTGATTTAGAGATTGGATGAAATCTGCTTCTTTGTTGTTGTAAAAATATAATTCTAATCCACTAAACATTATATTGTACAAATCTGAAATAGTCCACCAGGGTCACTTGAAAGATCATTTACATGCTTATGCAATTCCTAAACATTACATAAGCAGAATAAATGGTGTGACAGTAATAAGAAGGATAAAAAAATAAAACAGTGTTGTAAAATATGAAGGAAAAATATCAATATCGCTAAGCAAATAAAGTAATTGCAGGAGTAAAAGAGGCAAATCACTTCCTAGCACTTAAATTTGAACTGTGGACCGATCATAAATATTCACCAATAGCAGTGTCAAAAACATTACCCTTTTTATTAGAGCTGTATTTTCCTCATATACTACTATAAAGTTAATGAAGGGCGTTGTCTTAACCATTAAACTGTCGTGTAGTTTGAAGATGTTGCAGCTTCAACAAGAAGAATCTGACTCAGATTCTTCAGTTGCACAAGAATCACTGTACAGCATGAACTGGAGACAAAGGTGGAAAAACAGTGAGGAAAATCATTTTTCTTTCATGCTCTTATGATATATGATCTTAGAAATTATTCCAAACAGCACAATAATGTCGAATAAAACACTTGAAAATTACCATGTCACAAATGGATGTGTTGAATGTCTTTTTTTATTATTTTCTTAAGAATAGTTTAGTTATGTAATGAAGAAAACAATTACATATTTCAAAACTGTCAAATGTAACATAAAAAGCTTTCGGAAACATAATTTTTGTAGTTATGGTCATGGCAGATGATACGGTCACAAAATTATCGCCCTTAGAAATAACTTTACGCAGTTTATTTCTCTTAAATTTATAAAGCACCCAATGACTGCAAAAAGCCTCTTAAAGGCAATTTACACAAAGTAACTTTTTTTTTTAAGTGTGCTTACATTTCTTTTCTATCCTGAACTTAATAAAAGTAAAATAAAACTTAATAAAAATAATGCGTGATTTGCTTATAGTTAGATATAATCAAAATATGAAGTACTTTTTGGTACGTAGGTTTCATTAACTCACAACTAATTAATAAAGCCACACATGATTAAAAAACGAAACAGTAGAATTTATTTGTTGGACATGTTAAATTGATGAACAAACTAGAAACGATTGTGAATTGCATTTTTTTAACCACTAGGTGGCGACAGATTTAGTTAGTTTTGTTCCGACGCTGCAAAACGTCATTAAAAGGTTAGAGGTTAAATCTACATAAAATGTATACATAAACCTGAACCGAAATGCGCAACCGTACCAATCATTTTTGTATGCGTGAACTATAAAAGGATATTTGCTGCCGTATTCTGTGTTTTTATTTTTATTTTATTTTTTAGGCGAGGCTGTCGTGAACCGCGCGAGCAAACTGAGCTCGTCACGTGACCGTCTTTATCTCCGCCCTGGGATATCAGCAAAATGGAGGTGAGGTGCTGTCAAGTGTCGCAAATTAAACGCGTAAATGCATTAAAACGTTAAAAAAAATGCACTATTATTACAAAGTTTGCCACAGCTATGGGTTCGGTGGCAACATGCATTTCGCTGTTTGCTCATTTGTTGCTTCTTTGTAGCTCAAAAGACTCGAATCACTTTGTCGTTAGCTATCGTTTAGGCTAAGCTAATAGTCGCTAACAATTTTTTTGTTACTGTACGACGTTCCTGTATTTAGTTTAATCCAAAGTAACGAATGTAATATATTTTTAAATATGCGCATGTTCTTGTTCATCATAACTTAATGTTAAATCTGCGATTTTACTAAATTAATCCAACGATACCCGTCACAGTAAGCTAAAGGCGGCCGAGCTCGGTAGCTACACTCGGCAGCCATTTTAGCACTATCGCTGATAAATGCAGGTGTTTCTAATCTAGTTAATTGAGCCTCTGTTTTTAAACATTGTGATCCCACCTTCGTTAAGATTGTTCGTTCTCTTCGGTTTTTATTCAACTTATTTATGTCGAAATACTTTGTAGCTTGAAATTGCAGGATTAAAATAACAGTTTTACCTGTTTGTATTGTGCATACCGGATGCAGCAGGACGTTCCTAGTTGTAAAACCATACAGGAAAACGAAGAAACGTTTTATTATTCATTCCAGTGGAATAAATGTTGAGTATTTAGATGATTCTTGTAATGTAAAACTCATAAATGAATCATTGTTTAAAATGAAAGGAATGACCTTTTCCATGTCTAAAAGAAAGCCACAGTTTCAATTTGATCAAAATGAGGGGGGAAACAGCATAAACTTACTTTAAAGTGACACCAAAAAGATGACAGGCTGTGTTTAAATTGTAGCTAGGATTTTTTTCTTGCTTGTATGTGTTCAAATATGTCTGTTCTGTCATTTGGTTCATTTACACAGAATTAAAGTGGTCAATGTGTTCTTGAGAGTGTACTGCAAGTTAAGGCAGTTTTTTTAATGACATAAGTCAGACACCTAAAAAAAATTAAATAAAAAAATCTAATATGTTGTCAAAGAAAAAAATATCAGACTTTTCCAAACACTTTGATGGTGCTTCTCATGTTCAACATCAAGTCTTAATAGAGTTTGGTCTCTTGACTATTAGCCTGTAATTGCACTGGTGTTTGTATTTTATATACATATATATATTTGTTAACTTGTCGTGTTATCTTACCTTGTTTTTGTGACGTAATGACACGAGTGCCTCACACAGAATTGGCACACAAAACAAAACTTGTGTGTATGAACTTGTACTTCAAAGAACGTGTTTCTGCTTGTATTTTAGCTGTTTAACTGTTTTGAATAAAGCTCAACTTTAGTTTTCTTTTTTTATCATTATTGTTGTTCCACAATGATCTGTTCAGAAACAACATTCTGTTGAGCGCTTGGCGTTTTGCTGTGGTTTTTATTTGACAGAACCGTGACTCTAAAGAACCTGAGCAGCTCCGAAAACTGTTTATCGGAGGTCTCAGCTTTGAAACCACGGAGGAGAGTTTACGAGCCCATTTTGAGCAATGGGGATCCCTCACAGATTGTGTGGTTTGTATTTTTTCATCTATTAAAAAAATAGTCCCATATAATAATAACATCAGCTTAATTATAGATAATTAAATCTGTCTTTGCCATCTTTGTTTTTTTTTTCTAGGTGATGAGAGATCCGAACAGCAAGCGGTCAAGGGGTTTTGGTTTTGTAACATACACTTCTGTGACCGAAGTAGATGATGCCATGAATGCAAGGCCTCATAAAGTAGATGGACGTGTTGTTGAACCTAAGAGAGCTGTGTCCAGAGAGGTAAAAATGTACATTTCAGACCAAAGAGAAAGATAATACAGCTGTTTTGTTAGGAGCCTGTGTTCACAGAAACACTTTGTCTTAGGACTCTAACAAACCAGGAGCACATATGACGGTGAAGAAGATTTTTGTCGGTGGCATTAAGGAAGACACAGAGGAGCACCACATTCGGGATTATTTTGAGAAATACGGAAAGATCGAATGCGTCGACATCATGGAGGAACGTTCCACAGGGAAGAAGAGAGGATTCTGCTTCGTCTCTTTTGATGACCATGACACTGTGGACAAGATTGTTGGTATGCAGTAGTTCAGGTTTAGTAGTCAAATATTAGTAAACTTACAATATTCTGTGATTGTTAGTTTTTTATTTTTTCCTTTCTCTTTTTTCCAGCTCAGAAATTCCACACAATCAACTTTCACAACTGTGAAGTCAGGAAAGCTCTGTCAAAACAGGAAATGAATGCCATATCCAGTAACCGAGGTAAGTAAGCATACCGTTAAAAAAACTACGGCTGTGTTTACGCAAGCTGTGTGTAGTTTGCAGTTCATTGATGTAATAATTTGTTTCTGAATTAACACCTTTCACAGGCCGGACTGGAGGATCAGGGAATTTCATGGGCAGAGATGGTACCGGTAATTTTGGAGGAGGAGGAGGAGGGGGAGGAAACTTTAATCGAGGTAGGCTAACTTCTACAAATGCAGCCAATACATTTCCTTTTTTGATATTTAAGAGATTATTTGAAGTCTGTTAAACATCTGTGATATTGCTGCAACATTTTTTATATATTTTGACATTGTTTGGTTTATTTGTTCATTTCTAGGCAGTGGCTATGGTGGAGGGCGTGGTTATGATGACGATTTTGACAATGGTATGAAATGTAACTTTTAATCAAGCCCCTTACTCCTAACAAGTATGTTGTTTTGAGATTATACAAGTAAAAATCAGTATCAAAAATATAACTGTGTAACACATAGCCTCTTTAAATATCTATAGAAAATGTTTTACAGCAGTGGTACATTGACATTGGTAATAGTCATAAAAAGGAAACATTAACATTTGTATTGTTTTCTTAGGTCCTGGAGGGAATTATGGTGGTGGATCTGGTTATGGAGGTAACCGAGGGGGTTATGGAGGTGGTGGTCAAGGGTATGGAAACCAAGGTGGAGGCGGAGGCTTTGGTGGCAATTGTGATGGAGGTTATGGAGGAAATAGAGGAGGTACACTTCTAAATTTCTGTGAAATAAGTATTAGCTATATAGTAAAACAAATAAAGGTTTGTTTTAAAATGAACTTACTTTCCAGGTTATGGAGGAGGTGGAAATTACAACGACTTTGGAAACTATGGTGGACAGCAGTCAGGCTATGGGCCCATGAAGGGAAACAACTTTGGTGGCAGAAACTCGGGTGGTGGACCCTATGGTGGTAAGTTCTCTCCTCTACATATCTGTATAATACTCAGACTTCAAAATGAGTTAAGTAACATTTGTTAATTCCCTAATTCTAGGTGGCTATGGCTCTGGAAGCGGTGGTGGAGGTTATGGCTCACGGCGTTACTGAATAGTCTCTGCTTTTGGTAAGTTGCATTCAGTCTCACAGCAGCCTCGTAGCACAGTACAGAGTGAGCCCGATGAAAGTGCAGATTAACTATGTGTTCTATCCTGTATCCATTCAACAGGCTTCAGTTCTTAGCAGCAGAGGCGAGGAGGTGAGCAAAGGAGTTGTCAGGAAAGCTGCAGGTTACTTTGAGGCAGTCATCTGAAAGCATTAGAGGAACACAAGTCAGACTTTACTGCAGCTAAATCCAAGAAGTTATGGAAGAAGGACTATGAACAAGACATGAGAGCAGACATGATGCCCTTCCCTAATTGTGATAGATGTTTCTCTTCTGAGGAAGTTTTCCTTTTTCTGCGTCTAATGTGTGTGTTTTGTGCCTATGGTATCAGGGGTAAATAAGTAAACTGTTTTTTTGTTTTACTTATTTTCAGTCAATCCTAATTTTTACTTTATATATAAGTTAGTTTTCTGATGACCAATTAATCTTTTATCTTTTTAAGTTGTTTTTTTTTTTCAGATAGCATAGTTACATCAGGCCCTTAGATCTGCTACAATTACACTTTCCCTCTTTTTGAAGTTGTTTTGATTTTGTAATTGCAAGTGACACATGTATTTTGGTTTTTGTATGTAAAGCACAGTGTGTAAATTCTTCATAGTAACAGTGTCAATGAATATAAATGGCCTGGATTAGACCCAAAGGAATGATTCACCCCTCCTGTTCCCAATAAACCAAATTTGAGCTTGTTCATTTTAATTGGTAGAAAAAGACAAAATAAAACTGTGTAGTAAAGTAACATGAGGTGCAGTGCATCATTGGTTAAGAAAGGGTTAAATGAGTTAAATTTACCTGTTTCCTTCTTATTGTGATGTTGGTGTAGTTCATCAGCCAGTTCAGCCTTTTCACCTGTGGGACTGTTGTAAATATGTGTGTGTGTGTGTGTGTGAATACAGTCTTGTATGCCTGTTTGTCAATGTAAAGGGACGTTTGGGTTGTTCTAGGGAAGGGCCCAGACACGACTTGTGCCAGTCTTGAGAAAGTAGCATTATAGAAGCTACAAGCACCTGCAGTTGGGCCCTCAGCGTCGCTAGTGTGGAAGATTGCAGATGACTGTCAGACAGGACGTCTTCAGCCCCAGCACAGTGGACCAGTCAGCATTTTGAGAGAGAAGGGAGAAGGCAGCATCGAGCACAACGCCCATGGAGGAAGCTTGCAGTGTCGTTCCTGGTAGTGAGCATCTGTCTCGTTTCCCAAGGCTAGCTAAACCCCTGAGCAGCTGGCGCTAGCGAAGAGAGACTAGGTCCTGGAAACACTGGAGTCCCTGTTGAGTGAGATACAGCAGTTTAACCTGCCAATACTAGATGTCAGAGACGAGAAAAGGCAGCGAGTATTTCACAAAAGCTGACTTGAGAAGATGGAGCAGGTAAGAGTAACCACTTTGCTTGATTTACAGATGTGGAAATGGGCATTCTCTTCTTGCTGAAAAGCTGTAGAGGCCTGATAACATGGAAGGTTCTGGATGGGTAAGACTTTTTGAAATATTATCCAAGGTTGTGTTTCAAAATTTACAGTAATTGCATTAAATGTTAAAAGATTAAAAATAAAAAATGTAATGATGTCTGTGACGTCCAGTATTCTGTGTAATTCGATGAGAATTATTCAACAATTTACCCCTGAATGTTTTGTGATGCTCGTTGCCATCAGGTTAAACAAGTAATAGTGATAAAACGTACTAGGCAATACAAGAATTCACACCCTGTCTAAACTATCAGGTTTATTTGACATGTACAGGTTAACGAGGTCAACAATGCAATGAAATGTTCAGGATGAGATATTAAAACTAGAGCTAATATTTTTAGTACACAGTGCAATGGTGTTTCTATAAATTCAGAATTAAGTGGAAAGTTCACATTTTCTCTTAGCATATGGTAAGATTAGGAATAAAAATGAGTATCCCTTTTTATGTGAGGCATCGTCAGCATTTTTTCGAGAGTTTTTCGCTCAAGTATTGCAGACTGATTATACAAGGGTTACTGGTGCCCTTTTAAAGGAATAGTTCAGATCTTTTGAAGTGAGGATTTGTGGAAAGGTTATGAAGTTCCCCGTTGTAAGTAGATAGCTCACTGTAAAGTGCTTTGTGTTGTCATTGTATGTTCCCATACAATGGTGACTTGCCTGAGATACACCCAGGTGGAGTGGTGGACAGCTCTGTAAGTGCCCAGGGAGCAATTGGGGATTGGGTGTCTTGCTCAGAGATGCCGCGACATGTGGGAATGGCTGGGGATCGAACCTGGGACTTTTGGGTCGCGAGTCGGCTGCCCTACCTCTACCCCATCTTTGCCCCCTAACAGCCACTGTTTAAAGAAATGGATCCCAAGTCTGACTGGACTGAAACACTGAAAGCTAAGCGATGCTAAGATCAAAGTAGGTTGCAAACATTTTGAAACAACTCCAGTCCCAAAAATTTCACATCACTACAACTTTTTGTAAACATTTTACTCTGCTCAATTTCACATTGCGTGGTTATTAACATAGAATTCTCTGGCCATTTGCAAATAGCAGCAGCAGAAATTAACTGTAGCACTTCCTGTGCAGATTTGAGCTCTTTAAGCAGGAATATAATAATATATTTGCTTAAATAACCATGTTATGCAAAATAACAATGTAAAGGTCTGTTGAGTAGCAATCAACTTTTGTCTTGGCTCAAACTCCCCCATATAAGTGTGTTCAAACAGTTATCTCCATCAGGTAAGATAATGAGTGTTTATAACCTTTCCCCAGAACCCCACCTCAGCAGTGGACTGTATTGAACTGGACTACCCGTTTAAAACATTAGTACCCAATATGCCAATAAAACCACAAAGTGTTTTGCTCAAATTATAGATGAAAGGGAAGTGATTGGGAAGAACAGTAATGGGGTTATCAACAAAAAAAGCTAGTCAAATGACCAAACACCTATCTGCATACAATACATACCTGCATACTTAGAGGTGTATTAAAGTGCAAAGACTTGACCGTTTTAAATTGCACACAGGTTCAGACCACTTCCATTACATGGCGTGCTTTTCATTTTCAGTTGCAGGAACAGTGAGTGGAATGCAGACAAACCAGCTTTCTGTTCCCGGCAGAGTAATACGATATTATCTGCAACAGTACTGGTACATGCATTCCAGTGACCTGTTTTTTTGTTGTTGTTTGCTGGGGGG